GGCTGGGTTAGCCGAGCCAGCACTGCCCCTTGCTGGATGGATAGTGGTGCTGGGCCCTCTGCCTCTCCAGGGGGCTTGTGATCCATTCTCCAGGCTGGCCACGAGCAGGCTGAGGGCACAGCTGTGCCTGTAGGAGGTGGGCTCGTTCTCAGTTCTTCCTGGCCCAGGAGAGCTGCCAGGTTCTAATTTCTGTGGTTGTGTCCTGGTAGGACTGAAGTGAACCCATTTAAGTAACTGAGATCAAGGGGCCTACGCTGTCCAGAGAGTTATTAATTCTCCTGTCCCAGGGGATATGTCTAGCTTTTAGTGTATCTCTATGCTTGATCCTCAGTGCTTAAATCTTCTACTTCCTTTTTAAACATTGGAAATTCTCTATGCTCCCCTTCTCTTTTATTATTCCCAGACTTTTCCTTTCCTATACCCTCATCATTGCAATTCCCCCAAAGCCTACTTGTCCCAAAAGGCAAGCTTCCTTAGTCTTCAAAACACACACCCTTGTCGCATCCTCGTCCCAGTTTCTTTGGATTCTGTTGCTTTTTCTGGGTGCAGAATCCCTTTGACAGCTGTGTAGATCTCCAGGTCCTTTCCAAGTCTACCTCTCCACTGCTAGTGGAAACTCAAACTTGCTGGCAGCCTCCACATTCCCTTATGTGACATTCCATGGATACCCAGCCAGCCACCAGAGGAGGTGAGCCCCTGTGGGTACTCTGATGTCACACTAAGACTTCTTTTCTCATAACTCCTACCACGCTCTGAAAGCACAGCCTCTCATAGGTTGGCCCTTAGTTCTCTCATGCTGCTGTCTTGAAAGGACAGAGCTGCCATGAAATCCAGACCTTTGAACTACTTGCAGCCTCCATGGGGTGTGTGTTTAAGCCTTGTTCCTGCTCTGCTTGGAGTCTGTACTTGGAATGAAAGCTACATTCCTTCTGCTGTCAGTTCTGTCTGTCCCACACAAGTTATTTCACAGACAACTATACATCCTGTGTGGTGAGGCTATCACTTTAAATATATCTGCCCATTTCAAGACCTTTGTTTCTTTCTTTCCTCTTTCTTTCCTCTTTCTTTCCTCTTTCTTTCCTCTTTCTTTCCTCTTTCTTTCCTCTTTCTTTCCTCTTTCTTTCCTCTTTCTTTCCTCTTTCTTTCCTCTTTCTCTCTTTCTCTCTTTCTCGCTTTCTGTCTCTTTCTGTCTCTCTCTTTCTCTCTCTCTTTTTCTCTCCCTCTCTTTCTCTCTCTCTTTCTCGCTTCCTTTCCTTTTCGTCTTTACAAGGTGAAAAGGTCTTAGAGCAGAGTTAACCAAATGTTTTTGTGCCTCAGTTTATCACATCCATAATTCATTAATAGGTAGCCTTTTCAAGTATGTCAAAAAGCTGTGCAGATGCTAGAACCTTTCAGAACCATGCTGTCACCACGTCTTCTTGCCTTTCTGGCTGTCAGCCAATAATTTTAACTGATGGAGTGATAAGGCAACACAAATCGCTAGAGCCCTGCCTGCAGGGGAGGTTTTATCAGTGTAGCTGGAGTGCTGGTATCTATGACACAACATTGTGTCTGGAGTAAGGTGCTCCACCAGGCTGCAGTTACTGCATCAGGACCTCCCTGAGGACACCCTTCATGGGGTGGGAAAATGCTGTGTGCATCCATGTCCTGTCAGCTAGAAGATCTGCACTGATTGCTGGCTGTGGAATGAACACAAAGCATGGGGTAAAACTTCCAACTTTCCAGAGCTGCTGCTGGAGTGGTTTCCAGCCAGTCAGCATCTGTTACCCACAGACTTTTTGCAGACTCTTGCTTGTATTTTCTGGGAACTATGAAGGGGAGAGGGGAAGATATTAAATACATATGACTCTTGAAAACCAACCAGTGATGACGGAGCTGGGCTCTCAATGTCACTTGCTGTGACAGCAAGCCAGGCTCTTGGCACAGGTAACCTGCCTTTGGGCTTCAGGTCTCACCATGCCTGTGCTGCTGGGGCGTACAGCTTATTGGGCAGGGCTGCTCCCCTGCTCCAGTCCAGCTGTTTGATAAGGATTTCATTTTCCATGGATATAATTATATGAGAAAGTTCAGCCTAGCAAACTACTAAATGTAGGAAGAGAGGATTATGGAACTGCAGGGGAGCTCCTGGCATAGCTAGTCATGGAGGCCAGGGCACAGCTGCCACCTCAAGACTAGCTGGGGTCCTGACTTTGAAGATCCTTTAGCTCCAGCTGCCTTTTTTGTTTGTTTTTGCTAGGCTCAGCAGGGCAAGTGCATGGAGTTTGCCAAGTAAGATGGACTCTCCACTGCTCTAATCCTCACCATCCTTCGTTACATCTATTCTGGGTTAAATTCACCTCTTTTGAACCTCTTTACATCTACCTCTCAGGAGACCTTAAGTATACACAGTATTACAGATTACCAGTTTCACCAGTGCTTGAATGCCACTAGTGCATTTTTATCTGTACTGAAATAGCTATTGATGCAGATTTGGATCACATTTTATTTTTTATGGCCTTACCACATTGATAGAAAATGTAGTCATTCTGTGATTGACTGATAACCACATGTATTTCTACTTTCTACTGTTTGCAACTGATGAATTCCCATATTAGAGTAGGAATTACGGATATAGATTCTGAGGAACATGATCCTGTGCTTTGTTATGCTATATTTCATCCCTTTACACAGTTCTCACTTTCTTACATTCTCTGTACTGTCCCCTGCCTTGTATTGACAGTGCCACCTAAATTTGTCATTACAAAGTTTTGTTAGCATACTTTTTGTGCTGGACCTATCAATGACAATATCTAAATAGAATCAGTTTCAAAAGTTGTCCACAAGGTACTTCTGCTTAATACTTTTTTCTGCGACAGTTCCTTTACCATGTATTACTCTCGTCTTTTTCAGTTTTAAATAGTGGTTCCCTTTATGACCGTGTCTCAGATGCTTTACTTAAAAGCAGGTCGACTGGATCTACTGCATCTCTTTTGTCTAAAATGCAATTTTAATTAGAAGAAAGGCTTGGTTAAGCCCAGGCTTAGCATTTTTTATAGTGTATTCAACATCAACTCAAGTTCTGTGCAGCAGGCTGGATCCTTCCCCTCTGGGTCCCACTACTGAATTGCTTTTACTGAAACTTTATAAGTAACTTACAAGGATTCCTTTTAGTCCTGCTTCATAAATTAGACCTATAGCCTTCCTCTGTGCATTTAAAAATTCAAATAAAAACAGTGCAGAGCTGAGGCTCTTAGACTTGCTGCATCTGTCTGGCCACAGATGCTCATAACTGATTACAAGGAGGGTTGGTGAATCCAGCTCAGCTGGTGCTTGTACTGTTGCAGGATCTTTGCATTTTGAATGGTATCTGCACGTGGCCATAAGTCAGAGTGACACAGGGTATAATTGCCTGGGCTGTGTTACTGAACTGCATTACTGGCTCTGTGTGCCCATCAGAAATCCTCTCTGAAACATAGTCTCTTGGGAATCAAGGCTCACAAGGTGGCACAGAGTTCCAGTTTCTAAGGAGTGCGGGCATGAGCTTTCCTGCTTTGGCCATGGTAGAAGCCTCAACATAGAGACACTTTTGTCAATAATCTCTGGGGTCAAGTTTCCTAGCAGGGAAAGTGCCCAGAAGCTGATAAGTCAGACTTCAGTTATGCCACTTGTGATATAAAAATATTAGCTCTGAACACTGTTTTTCGAATGCGTAGGTTGTGAGCATCTGCTGTGGGCAGTAAAATATTAGCTCAGGATCTAATTGAGCTTGTCAGACTTGGGGGGACAAGAGGTCTTGGCTTGTATTACCTCTCTCAAAGATGGAAATTATAGACTAACCTAATTATCAGGAAGTTGCCCAGTGTCTGATGATTTATTTTGAAAAAAATAAAATTGCTGAAACTGTTTTGTTTGTCCTGCTCACGTAGTGAAGAATGCAGCTGCAATTGTTATTTCCTCCCTGACATGGATCAAATTCTGGTTTTATTTTTTTCTGGGACATTAAACTCTCACCTGGAAAGAAAACTCAATCTGAAGGGCACCCTTTTCTTTGTTGGGTTTTTTTAAGCCATCTCTAAACTAAAATTAAGTTTTGAAGGTGACAGCACAGTGGCTCTCTGCTGTGGACAATCTGCCTGACCAAGAAGGAGACAAAGCCTTTCTTAGCCATCTGGAGGAAGCCCCATGGCTGCAGGCCCTTGTGCTCATGGGCAACTTTAACCACGCCGACTTCTGGTGGGAGGGCAGGAGCACTGAGCACAAGCACTCAGGAGGTTCCTGGACTGGATTAATGAGCATTTCTTGACATAGATGATCAACAAGCCAATAAGGGAGGGTGCTCTGCTGGACCTGTTCCTCACAAAGAAGGAAGAACTGGTTAGAACTGGTTAGGGATGTGAAGCCTAAGGGCAGCCCTGGGTGCAGCAACCGTGAGATGACAGAGTTTATGATTCTGAGCAAACAAGACCTGGATTTCAGGGAGCAGGTTTTGCCTTGTTCAGGGATCAGCCTGGAAGGATCCTATGGGACAGTGGGGATCCGTGGAAGACAAAGGGGCTCAGGGAAGCTGACTGAAATTCAAGGACAACCTCTTGAAAGAACAGGGGAATGGTGAGACCAATGTGCACAAAGTTGAGCAGGCCTGGCAGGAGGCCAGCAGGCTTAAGCAGAGAATTGCAGACTGGCCTCAAATGCAAAGAGTGAGTGCATGAAGTGTAAGCAGGGATGGTCTACCCAGCAGGAACAAGACAGTGGTGCCCAGGCATGCAAGAGTGGCATTAGGGAG